GGGGATGGGTTGTGTGGGAACAATGTTCCGTCCTTTTGGGGACGGGTGGTCAATGGTTTAACCATTAAGGCACAGCAAAACATAAGAGTAGGCCCCCCCCCCCCCCGTCTCTTTTTCTCCCTCACGAAACGACGAAACAAGAAAGTACTCACACACACACACTTTTATTTTAATCCAGAGAGTAGCGTAGACTCCCCCGTGACGCTCGGTCACAGGGTCCCAGATTGTTGTAGCCTTTAGAAGCATTTTGTGTTTTCAACGGCTTTTCATTGGTCAGCCGGTCAGCGCGGTCGACGCGAACAAGGAATACACACACAAGAACGATGGAGATGAAAGCAAGGAGGATGATGGTGAAAGCACTCCAAAACGAACTCGAGTGCAAGGTAGCAGCCCTGGTAGACGTGCGCATTTTTCTTCTGTTGCTACCGTTTCTGTCTTTGATCTGGAGAATAGATTAGTCTCCCCCATGCCGCCCCCTCACGGAGTCACAGTTAAAAATCAATGACGTTTTAAGTGTTTTTTGTGTTTTCAACCGCACTGAGACTGACGTGTTTTCATTGGTCAGCCGGTTAGCGCCGTCGATATTGATAACAAAAACCCACGCACACCCACAAACGGGCGTTTGCTTGCGGCCACAAGAAAAACACAGATGCGCTAGAATAGCAGGTGGCGAGACACACGCACCCAACAACGTTATTGCTTGCGACAAAATATACCGCAAGGGACCCCGTGCATACATGCCAGCTGTGACGTAAACGCGCACACAGGAAAAGAAAATAACCGACGTTATTGCTTGCGACAAACACACAGACGTACCAGCTGGCGACGTTCATCAACGCGCGTTTCGAGGACGAGCCGCTGCTGTCGACCATCCTGCCGGTGGACGGCGCCAAGCCCGACGAGTTCTTCGGCGCCTGGGGGGACGGGCGGCTGCTGATATGCCTCGTTGACGCGGCCTGCGAGGGAGTGGTGGACCTCGACTTCATGCGGCGAAAGTCAGTGGGTTGGGTTGGGTAGTGGTGCATGCCGCGTGTTGTTTTTGGAAAGGGGGGCCGTTTAGGGGAGTATTGGTTGATGAGGGTTGGTGGATCTGGCCTGCTTCGTGGAGCAAGCTACCGCAGCCGTTTATTTTTTTGTGTGTGGTGCTGTCAGGAGGACAGAGTGTGAGAGTGCAGGTTGAAAGGGTGCCTGGAAGGGCGCCTGGCCTCGTGGAAGGGTTGCAGGTAGGTGCGTTGGACAAACGATTCCGCCGAGAGATAGGGGGGGGGGGGAGAGGGGGACAGGGAGAAGGAGAGAGAAGAGGAATAAGCCCCCGTTGTTTTGCTCGTTGTCTCTTGGTCGTTCTTTTGGTGGGGCAGTAGGGGGACAAAAAACTCACTCACTCACCCCCAGTTACGTGGAAGTGTTGTGCTTGAGTCTGGACACTGGGAACGGCGCCGGTGAAAATGGATCCGCGGTCTGGTGCTTCTTCGCCAAAGAAGGCGACTCTCGGGACCCTTCTTCCGAAAGTTCGGCCGTTTCGTCACCGCCTGATACTTGTCTGTGAACACCCCCCGCGCCCATAACCAACACGCACGCGCGCGCGCGTACGCTCCAAAACGAACTCGAGTGCAAGCTAGCAGCCTTGGTAGACGCGTGCAGTTTTCTTCTGTTGCTACCGTTTCTGTATTTGATCCGGAGAATAGCTTAGCCTCTCTCATGTCGCCCCCTCACGGGGTCCCAGTTAATGGCATTTAGGAGTGTTTTTTGTGTTTTTAACCGCACTGATACTGATGTCGTTTCATTGGTCAGCCGATTAGCACGGTCGATGCTAACGCTGACTTATTTCTATACCCGGTCGGTTTTTGTAGCGCGTTCGATGCTAATTTATGGAGCACAAATACGACTCGACGACACACAGGGCGTCCAAGCCCCAGGGCGTGAGCGTGCGGCACCCGACAATCCAGCACTTCGCGGTGCTGAACGATGCGTTGCAAGGGTGCAAGAACATCGACGGCTTGCGGCTCGGGTTCGTGGGCGCGGAAGACTTCGTTCAGGGTAACCGGTACGATGCATATTTCACAGGACGGGAAGAATGGATCTACGAAAATTGATGCCTATACGTCGGTGTGGTGCTCGATCTACGTAGATGTTTATACGTTGATTTGATGTTAGATTTACGTAGATGTACTACGGTATCCAATAGTCGAATTAGAGTCACCCCCACGCCCACGAGAAACCCAGTGCACCCTTTCATCGTCGACGTCGGGGAAGAGCGACCAGGACTCTGCGAGGGCCCGGGAGCTCGGGGAGAGTTGCGTCTTGCTGGTTTACTTTTCCGTCACGTGCATCATGTGTATCCGTCTTTCCTAAGTGCGGAGGCATCTTTTCTTCCGGTGTTCTTGATCGTCTGTCGCCCGCCTCGATACGACGCGCCACAACCCCGCTCCTGTCGCCCGCTGTTCGCCCCTACCAACGCTGTCCGTTCGTTGCCATCTGTTCCTGCCTTTCTTCCTTCTTGTCTGTTTCTCTTGTGTGTCTCGCTGTGCATCCTGTCGTGTCCGCCAGACCTGTCATTTTGGGCGTCGGGTGGCAGCTGGTACGGCTGGCCATCTTGCAAACCGCCAACATCGACGATCGGCCAGAGTTGTCAGGTAACCAACCCCCCCCCCCCCCCCCCTATACCATGAGGTTCAAGGTTGTCGGCACTGGGTGATGAGGCTGGGCCTTCACCCAAGTGTTTTTTTTTACCCGGATTGGATATTGCCATGTGTGCCACTGCGTGGGAACGCTGAGATTGCCAGCACAGCACCCGCACGTGCGACGGGAGATTGTTTCTCGGATGCATTGTGGCTTTGGGTGTCGTGTTCAACCAGGTGTTGTCAATGCTGCTGCTGCTGCTGTTGTTGTTGTTGCCGGTGTTGTGCGACAGAGCTCTTCACGCCAGAGGAGGCGGCGAAGAACATCGGACAGGCGGGACAGGAAGAGCTCGTCCTTTCGCGTTGGTGAGTACCCGTACCGTACCGTACCGTACAGTACAGCAGCAGGCTGGTGGTGCGGCTGGTACAGCCGCTGGCGGCGGTGACCGTTTGGTGATTGTGACGGCGAAGAGGGTCGGTCGTGTTGAGTGTTTCGTCGATGATGCTGTTGCTGGTATCGTTTTCCTGTTCATGTCTGCAGGCCTTCGGTTGGTTACTGTCATCGATGTTGGCGGTGGTTCCACCCCACCACTCCACCACCACTACCGTATCCGTAGTCGTCCATGCATTCCACTGTGCCCCCCCACGAGGGTAGATGCCTGAAGGCCGCCGGAGGCGTCAGGCGCAACAACCTACCGGCACCACTCGCTTGGGGTTGGCGCTAGAACAACACAAGCCTGCCCTACAACAAATACTCGGCTTCAAAACAAGCTTGAGGGTGTGCGGTCTGAAGGGCCACAGCTGCAGACCTCATCTCAAAAACAAAGCACCACTAAATATTTCGCCGGATTTTTTCGACGATCGACAGGGGATTTTCCACATCACTTGTCGTTTTTCGGTGACTTTCTCCGTCTCTTGCGTCCCACCCCCGTAAGTTGCTCGTTCCTCTCGAGCACGCACGCGCGGTCAATGGCCAAACAACTAAAGATGCAAAACATGAGCCCCCCCCCCTCCCCCCCCCTCCTCTGGCGCATACACGCAATCCCAAACAGGTTCAATCAGTTCCTTGGCGCCGTGGGAAGCGAGCGACAGGTGTGGAGCTTCGGCGCGGAGCTGGCGGACGGGGTGGCGTGGTGCACCCTCCTCAACGCGATCGACCCAGCCGCGTGCCCCCCGCCCGACGAGCACGACGCGGAGACGAACGCAGCGAGCGCCATCGAGGCCGTGCACAAGATGGAGGTCAAGGTGCGGAGCGGCTGCGGCGCATTTCTGTCTCTTGGGGCCTGTTTTTTTTTTTTTTTTGAGGGAGGGGGACAAGCGATGGACGTTGCCATCGAAGGTTGTACGTAGTGTTTGTTCCTCTTGCGGATGCGAGGGAACGCGGAGGCGTGTTCGGTTTCCTTGGGGGAGGGCCCAAGGGGTTTTTGTACCAACGTGCTATGTTTTTCTTTGTTTTTTGGTGATCGGCTGCAGCCCATAGTGTTGGGCTACGTAGGGCTCGTTCTGTCCCGACGGAGTAGGCAGGCGGTACGTGGAAGTTTTACACCTACTGCAGTAGAGCTCGAAGATTTTGGAGAGTGGCTTCTGCCTCCCTACCGGCGTGTGTTGTTCATATCGATCGGGACCCTTGTGCGGCTTTTATGTACATAGTCAGCAGGGAGAGAGGAAAAGACGCATCCATCGGTTTTTTTTTGGCGGCGTAGCTTTCTGTTAGGCTCCACCTCAACGGAGAGGGAGAGCATCTATCTGTCCACGACGACGACTCACGCACGGACGGATCACGACTACGGGGATCGCACGGCCTGTCTCGCATCTTTGGCCCAACGCTCTTCGCGGGTTTTCGCAAGGCCTTAGCGCACGATGTAGCCGCGATTGAACTCAGATTTTTCTACCGTCTTTCCGTTACAAGTCGACTGCGAAGAAGGACCGACTATTTCACATCGTAGCCACCACCGCCACAACCGCCATCAACATCGACACACGCATCGTGTACCATGACAACCTTCTTCAATCCCACGCGCGCAAAAGCCTAGCCGCCTCGAGAAACCAAACCAAACACCTCCGTCCCTCCGTCCCGCTCTCCCTCCCTCCCACACATCTCGCAGGGGGTCTTCATGACGAAGGAGGCGCTGTTGGAGTCGGACAAGAAGCAGAACGTAATGTTCTGCGCCCAGCTCATGAACGTCTTCCCGACCATCCCGACCTACCTCCGCCCCCCGCCCACCTTCAAGAGCGGCGCCAGCGGCAGCTCCAAGCGCGGCAGCGGCAGGGCCCCGTTCTCCTCCACCTACGACTCGCGCGGCGGCTCCGGCGCCTCCACGGCCGACTCGAGCATGTACACGAGCAGCCCGGCCGCCGCAGATGCCGGCGGCGGCGGCGGCCGAGGGGCCCCGCGGTATGTGGGGTCGTCGTCCGCCCCCCCGCCGGCCCCCTCCCCCCCGAGGTCGCGCTGGAGCTTCGGGTTCGCCGACAACACGGGAGGGAGGTTGTACAACTACAACAGCGACGACGAGGGAGAGTCGGGCCCCGGCTGCGGGCTCGGTTTCAGCATCTTCAGCTGCATCTCCCGGAATTAATTACAGTTTTTCTTTGGTTGGTTGGTTGGTTGGTTGGTTGGTTGGTTTGTTTTACTTACGGAAGGAAGGAAGGAAAGGAAGGAAAGGAAAAGTAGTTATTTTTCCGTAGATAAATCGCACGCGGGTGGTATTGCATAGGTGTAGGTGTGGGTGGTGTGTGGTGCTTCGAGTTTGTTTTACGATTGATTGGGAATGGATGGGATCTTCTTCCTAGGGCAGCTATCGCTCGTTGCACGCGCTCTGGTGCTGGTTTCGTGGTCCCCCCTCCCCCCCCCCCCCCCGATTGGTTTGGTTTTTGTGTTTCGTTGATTTTACCCAAGAGTGGCACGGTATTGTTCTTTTCGCAGCCCCCCTGGCCGATTTTGATGCCGAGGGTCAGTTTTTTGTCCTTTTCCATGGTTGATATTTTTATGCCCCCCGAATGATTGAGCAAGTCTTGGTGCTGCTTTTTTTGCTGCGGCAAGAAATGCCGTAAATGTTGACTGCTCAGATAAAGCGACCCTTGTAGTATCGATTTTCGGACGCGGAGACACGCATGGCTAGAGTCGTTCCCCGTAGCATATTTGTGCAGTGTTTGAATATAGTTCGGATCTTCTGCATGTATCTCGGGATCGCGCGGGCGGGCGGGCGGGCGGGCGGGCGGGCGGGCGGGGGGAGGGCGGGGTCCTTCACCTACTGTTTTCTATTTTCATCTTGTGAAGCGCTGTGTGTGCGAACGAGCAGAGGTTCGGGTTGTGCCTAGAGGCGTGTTTTTGCCCCATCTCCTTGTCCCTCTTACCATCTATCTGGTTTTGTTTTCGGTGGCTTCTTTACTTTGTTTTTTTTCGGTGAGGGACATACGCTTTGTTTTATGTATCTTTTGTCGTCGTCGAGAACGACAGCGATAGCGTCATAAAAAAGCCGCCAGAGGCCTTGACGCCATGCCTCCAAGGCTGTATCGAAGGGCAGAGCGGGTACCGCTGCCGTTCGTGTCCTCCCGGCGGTCGATAGCGGCGAAACCGATGGCACACATTCGTTCTCCGCCTCTTTTCTTGGTTGCACCAGCGGGCTTTATTTACCATGTGGCCTTCTTCTCGCAACATTTTCCACTCACTCTCTTTCGTCATGTATTTCGTGCCTGCCGGCGTGTTGTGTGTGGTGGCCGGCGTATGCGCTGCTGTAGCGCCCGTCGTTTCTCGAGCGAGCGAGCGGGGGCGGGACTGCTGGTGTCTTGGCGAATGTGTGTAGTTTATACGCCCCGAGTTATGCAGTTTTTTCTGCGTGGGGGTTGTGTCGTCGCGTTTGTTTTTTTTTGTGTTTCTTGGTCGTTTTTATTGTTCAACCGCGGCGTGGCTGTTGTCGGTGGCATTTCGTCTCGGGGGAGAAGAAACTCGGTGTGAAAACCTCGCATGTAGTAGGCGCTGAGCCTTCCTGGCAACGACTGCCTCCACGTCCGGCAGTTGAAATAGCTGCGGGAACGCGAAAGGGGGTGAAGGTTGCAACTTGTAAATCGATCTTTTGTTGTTTAGAATTTCTTTTTTTTGTTTCGGTATAATCTGCTCAGGAGGAATATGGATGCGCTTTCCCCCTCCAAAATTGGCACCTATTTTTTTAGGTAGCAAATAATATGGCGGGCGACCGGAGTGCGGCAGTGTTTGGGTGAAAGGGTAGGATGTAGATTGTGGCGTGCCGGCACACCCAACCAGTGGAAATGAAGTTGCGATGTTTTTCGTCACTTGCGTGGGCCAAATAATGTACCGTTGTTGCGCTGGTTGCCGCTGCTGCTGCCGCCTGTAGAAGGGTACGTTGCGGTATTTTCCGCCACTTGTGTGGTCCCTAGCAGTAGGTACTGGTCCAGCTCATTGATTGATGCTGTACGTTGCCGTTTGTTGAAGGATTCACGCGGCGTTGATGCTCGGGTGTCGGGGTTGATCTTTCTGTGTTAACGAACGCGTCTCTCGCCGCGTATGGATGGGTGCAGGTACAGTTATTAAGTAGTTCATCGGGCGTGCTAAATTCATACCATTCGCGTTACCGTGGTGAGGGTAGAGAGTGAGAGCGGCCGTTAAACCTTTTGTAGAAAAATGGTCCATAAGGGCATGTCGATGTACGTACGTTATCTGTTGCCACCGCAGGAAGTTGTGTTTGTTGGTTGTGGGGATGGGGCTTCACCGTTGGGATTTGCGCCGTACAGTATCGTGTAGCATCCGCCGCAGCCCTTGATGACTCAGGTTGCCTGTTTATCAAGGTGGGCAAGAGCAAAATATTTTGTTTTCAGCGGCAAGTACGAGGTTGCGAAAGGGGCTCAATGCTTTCGTAGTCCTCAGCAGGGAAAGAAGGGCGACTGTAGAATCTAAGCCATCAATCAGCTGAGTTTTGTCTGTAGATGCAAAAAAATAGGTTCAAGAAAATAAATAGATTAATCCAAGCGGTTTATTCACACATACACGCACACGTGCTTGCGCTTGCGATGCGGTGAACTTGACAATGTGCCCGGTGTCCCTTCTGACGGCAGCAACAGTTTGCCCTTTTACCTCTTTGTGTCCCGAGACACGAGTTCAAGACGGACGCACACCCGACCAACGACAAACCTACACTACTTATTGTCTTCCTTGTTTTCCGCACGAAGGCGATACTTCCTTTGAACGAGCTTTTCGCCGACTCTCTTTTCGCTGCCCACAAAGCTGCAAGCGAGCCATCGACTTCGCGTGAGAACCTACCTGGGGGTTGCTACTGATCTTTGTACTCTAGCCAAGCTCTGACGAAGGTTGCCACTAAAACGTATCGAGACGGTTGGTTGGGGGGCGGACGGACAGAACTTCCGGGCTCTGACCGCCGACCAGCTTTTCTCAAAAGAAGCCGAACCCTTGCGAGAGTATTTATTTATTGTTGCTATGTGAGGTTGGGGGGGAGCCGCTACCAAAATTATTAGTCGTTACCCTCGTCGAAGAACAACAATGGCATGGACGGCCGGCACTCGGATTTCCTGCCATCCCCCCCCTCTCGTTTGTGTGCCACGCCCCAGTTCAGATTGAATTGGAACAGTGACATTCCGTGCGAAACAGAGAAGGGCACAAGAAGAGTTACGCCCATCCGACGGTAATTATTGTCCAGAAATCGTGCTCTGTTTCATCAAGGGCGCCCATCTGTGCGGGTACACTGGGTACCCTCCATCTCGTGTCCCCCTCTGCGCGGTCTCTTCGCACCCGTCTTTATCTAAATAGTGTAGTCTACACACACACGTCTCTTCGGATGGCAAGAAATCTCGGCAACATGGAACGCGAGGAACAACGACAACCAAGAGAGGACTTCCGACCGGCCACAGACAGGTGCCTCGACGACAACAAAGTACTAGTTTATACCACTAGAACCTGTGGTTTGTGGAGCGTTGATCTCTGGCCATTTGTACTCCACGCGGCACGCGTGGTTTCGCTCAACGTCAATCCTTCAACACGACCAGCCCAACCCACCTCTGCGAGCGACGACGCCAACATGTCGCGATGAACATGTCTGTCAATGTCCACGAACCCGCTACCGCTGACAAGCATATGGAACCACTTATTACTTGATAAACACGACTGCCTTAAGCCAAGCGCGGTTTTCTGTTTTTCTCTCTCCGTTTTACGTGCATATAACAACGCAAGCTTTGAAGGAGGAATGGCTAGCTTAATTGCGCAGAGGACCGCCGGGAATAAACGAAGCAAAATCATAGAAATAAGTATAGTCTAGTTTACGAGCCCAAGGGGAAGTATCCCATGTACCGACAACGACCCGTTTGGACCTTTGCAGTAATCCTAGCAACGCCACAAGGGCGTGCCTTATCTACAATGGCAAGATTCCTAAGTAAGTTTAAATACCGATATTGGCGGCGCGCAAAAATAGCACGGGTACATGTACTGATGGAGCAAAGCCGGCGGCACTACAGCACTACTGTACACCATGTGCTCATATCGTGTCGTCATGTACGCACACGCTAGAGCCAGGCTTTCCAGTCGCCCAAGCTCCTCGATCGCGGGGGTGTTGGTCGAGTCAAAGGCCGGCGAACAACGGCCCCGCCAGACTCACGGCGAGCACCGTGGCAGCGGCGGCAGGGAAGAAGCTGCCAGAGACAATGACGCTGGGTGCCGAAGCGGCGTCCGCCTAGGGCAGACAGGAAGATACAGAACAAACAGCGCCGGTACCTCAAAACATTAATTGGCGGGATGGAAAAGGAGAGGACCAAGGGCTATTCGCGGGGGGAGGCAGAAGAGGGGAGCCACCACGTTGAAGGCGTTTCAAAGTAAGGGGACGGGCAGTCGGGCAAGAAGGGGGAATCGTACACACGGGGGCGCTCGACAGAGCGTACCAGGACGTTGTGTGTGCAATGGGTTAAAAATATGCGAGAGAGTTGGAATCCGGATGTCATCTATTTAGTTTCTTTCGTGTAGGTTTGGGATCGCGGAATAGTTTTTCTTCAAACGAATGGATGAGTCGTTGCTAGCATGAAGTGTTGGGGTTACGACCGTTTAGAACGTCTCGGTGTCCAACAAAAATCAGCGGTAGCATGGGGCTAAAACCGACAATACCACTTGAGCCTGACATACATGCACAGCACAAGCAAGAGCACCGTCTCCATCAACAACTCGCCTGGACGTCCACTTCATCCTCCTCGTCAGTCTCTTCAGCCTGCTGCTCATAATGACCCTCCACGGCCATGGCGGAGTAGTCGAAAGAGTAGCTGTACTCCCCGAGGTCGTCTCCATCGAACGCGGTAACCTCCATGAAGTCAATGAAAAGAGCCTGGTGGAATATTGGGCGCGTTTTGTAGCTGTGGCGTCAGACAACAGGGTTTAGGGCGTCGTGTTTTTTGGGGTCGGGAAGACCGTGAAGAACTTCAGGATACAGCCGCAAGAACAACAATATCTACCCTTTGTCGCTGCCCCAACACACGTATGCATGCTGCCACTACTGCTGCCGACGCGGATACGAGCACTTTTTATTTCCTACTATGCATATATGTATAATAGTACAATAAAACCATCTCTATCCGTAGATAGCGGTTTCTACCGTGGGAATGACAATGAATGCATAGCGTCAGCGGAGCATTACCTGTGTTCCTAAAACATTTCCCACGCAGCACGTTCTTTCTTTTTTTATGTCTCGCGAGTCCCGGGCAGCTCTACAACACGCTAATCAACAGTTAGTTCCCCTCCACACACCTGCGTGGTGCCGGGTTCGGAGCAGGACACGGTGAGGAGCATCTCGTTGTTGTCGTCCACGTAGTCGGCGACGTCGGCGGTGACGGGCATCGTCAGGGTCACCGGCGTCCAGTCTTCGCTGCCGGCGGCCGCGAAGTCGCCGACGGTGTGCAGGGTGCTGTTCCCGTCGGCGTCGATGCTGCTCACGCCGACGCTCCAGACGCCGCCGGAGCCCTCCGTGGGCACGAGCGCCGACGCCCCGACGACAATGCTCTGTGGTAGTCATCGGCGTGGATTCATTCGGGCTTGTTAGGCTGTTGCTGTCTTCCCACGTTTGAAGATCGATCCGATCTCTCTGTCCAGTATCATCTCCCCTCTGTCCATGCTGGTCTGAAATCTTACGCGGTCGATTCTCGTCGTCACAGGCTAACTTAATGGTAAACTCAAATGACAAGATAATTGTTTATCGATTCTCAGAAATAAAAACGGGGGGGAAGGGCACACACACGAGGAACGAATGGAGGCTGGCTCTTGGTCCCTACATAAATTTCCCGTTTTTTGTGGTGGTGAGAACCCAGCGGGGGCGGCATCTTGTGTCAGGAAGAAGACGGGCAAAAACTCATGCACACCAGGGAGGTCACGAAAAGAAAAACGGCCACGTGTTTTTCACATCGGCCCAAGCAAAAAATTGTCGCCTCTCACGGTGCAAACAAACATGCATGCATTGAACGCCCCCGAGACCGACTTCGGTGCTACCGACCGTGGCGGTGTACGACAGACAGATGGAAAACAATCTACACCGCATCGACATGCCCCTTGGCGCCCGTTAGTCAGACGGCACGGTTGGCTTCCCTTTCGGGCCGACAAAAAACCCCGTCTTGACAAAGCTGCACTAACACGGGCGCGCGAACAGCGGTGCTGGAGAGAGCACCTACATACTGTCAGCACGGGCAGTGAGTCTCCGACGACCCGAGCGTCAAAGCGAGCGAGCTAGCGACATGGTTGGGAGTGACTCACCTTGGCGGTGCCATCGGCGACGGACGACGGCGGGGAGAAGTAGAAGTCGGTCTGTTTAGCGGCGGGAACAGAGACAGCCGGGCGGCACAGCAGAGCAGGGAAGGGCTGAGTGAGAGAATCTATCACGGGGGCGTGGATTGGCAGACGAAGGCAGACAAGAAGACGCCGGATAAATTTCCGGTGCTGTATCGCGTTTGCCGACTAGTCTGTGCCAGTCATACCGCAGTACCGCTGTGAAGGTAATTCGACTATCCACCCCTTGTGATGCACATTTGACAGCTGCATATATACGCCGGTGAACAGAAGAGCACGGCCAACAGCTGCTGCTGCGGCCGCCACACACTCGTGCGCTCTTGCTGCGACCCTTCTCGCAACGGTAGCAATCGAAGGGGGTCCTCGTTCAGAGGGAACGGAGAACGCTTCCATGCTGCAGCTGGGGGGGCCCAAGAGGATTGCGGCCAGAGTCGCTAAGAACAATTTTCCTTCTAAAGGATAGCACGCTTCGATGTGGAACCATCTCACGCCATGCTTCAATTAGTAGCGGTTTGTTTACTCCCCGCGAACGGACAACACAGAAGCTCATCTGCGTTAGTCTCCCATACTCTTTGCAAACATCGCGCTTCGCTTAACAGATCACCATGCACGAGGTTTTGCAACCGCAACTATCTGTGTGTATACCTGAGCGTTCCCGAAAAGGGTCAGCATGCGCACGTAGCTCGCCATGTTCTCAAACGATACCGGAACGTCGTCACCGGCCTGCCACGGCGTGGTGCGATTCAAGGGGGGTGACATGGGGTGAGCGGGGGGTGGGGGCTTTTCCATGAGGAAGGGGTCGTAAAGCACCAAATCAGGCCTGGGAGAAACGTGGGCGAGTGTGGTGGGTTACATTTCTCTCAATTGACGCACACGGTCGCGGAGAGCCGAGAAAAAAAGAAAACAATACGCTACCTGCAAACCGACATGTCGACGGTAAGCTGGAGAGAAAAAGGCGGCGGCAGGAAGTCTACAGCGCACGTGGCTCTAGCTGGGCACATGAAGAAGCACGATTCCATTCATGGAAAGCAACCCACCTGGACGGAGACCCGGTCCTGAAACATCTCTTTCTCCAGACCAGCAACAGTGTCGACGTACGTGCACCTTCCCGTCGACGAGCTCACGGGCGTCATCGCCGCAAAGGAGCCTCCGGCAGCAGCGGTGATTGACATGTAGTCGATGAAGATCACCTACAACATGATGATGGTTTTTTGTTTAATGCAACATACACACGGGTGTTGGAGGCTCACTGTACTGCTTGCATGTTCGGCACGAATGCACCAATAGCACCAACCATTCATCTAGAGCGGCACCGGTAATTTTTCCGAATCACCACCGGCGGAGGACAAAAAATAACGCTTGCTCTGAAACAGCCTTCATTCGTGTGCCACGCAAATACAAAAGCATCGCCCGGAGGATAGGCTTGTGGGTAGTACCGACGACCAAAGGGCTGCCGGAACACGCTTTGCTTCTATAAGACAGGGTGCAGGAAGCTTCCTAGGGGAGAGAACGTTCAAACGCACCCAGAAAAAACAGCTGGCCTACGGCCAGCCCTATCAATCTGCGCCTTTTCTCGCACAACCGCGCGGCAAAACCAGACAATACGCAGCCGCCGGTCCCGCTACTAAGACAAACCTGCGTGCTGCCGGGCTGCGAGCAGGACAACGTGATGAGCATCTCGTTGTTGTCGTCCATGTAGCTGGCGAGGGAGCCCGTTGCTTCGTCGGCGGTGAGGGGAACCGTGAGGTAGATGGTCGTCCAGTCGGTGTTCCCGGCGGCCGCCAAGTCGCCGACCGTGTACAGGGTATCGTTCCCGTCGCCGCCGCCGCTGGTGCCAATGCCGACGGTCCAGACGCCGCCGGAGCCCTCCGTCGGCACGAGCGCGGACACCTCGATGGTGAGGCTCTGCGTGTGTTCGTGTGTGGGCGCGAGCGAGCGGGCCCGGATGCGAAAATCTTGAACGTGAGTTGAGTTCAACGACGACTTTTCTGGGTCCATTTATCTATTTTCCGTTAGGTTCATTTCTCGAAATGTGTCTTGGGTAGTTAGTTAAGTCTGTGACCACGGAAGGCGTCCTTGTCAGTTGGACCAGCCCGGATGTTACAAGGCACTGAGCGGAGTCCGAAACGATCACGATTTTCGATGCCAAGGCAACAACAGCCGAGAGACCACGTCTCCCAGGCGGGCACACGACAACAACAACATGAAGGCGAGGAGCCGCCACGATCGAACAACAAGCGAATGCCTCGGGAGGCGTATGGAATCGTTTTTGATCGAGCCGTCCTTCGCCCCTCACGACCACCACGGCGTAGTCTAGCGTCAGTAGCACGCCCTATTGGTTTGCCCGAGGCCCCTCGTCGTGACTGGGTGGAAGTCAAACAAGGGACGTATCCGAAAATGCGGAAAATACCCAACAAAAAATAATGAAGGCCTCGTCCGAAACCCCGATGTCCGAGCGATATGTTGGGGAAGCTGCGGGCATCTGGAATAACCACGATGGCGCGTTCCTTACCGAAGCGGTGCCATCGATGACGGCCGATGGTGGGGAGAAGTAGAAATCAGTCTGTTCACGAGGTACAGCGCAGAACAAAGTAGACAGGGATTAGAGTAGAGCACCCCGCAGAGAATGGGGAAGGATACACAGATGTTCTTCAACTTGTCTCTTCTTGGCAGGGTCATCCTCTCGTTTGTATTTGAATCGCGCCGGCCACACATGCAGCAGTGCAGTCCTAGAAAACAACAGAACTCTTCAAGCTGTCTTCGTTATTCTTGTCTCGTCGAACGACTCCCAAACCTTTTCACAGGATCTCGGCACCATACGAGTATTGTTATGGGTGGGTTCGTGGGGAAGATGTGCTGCATATCACGCAGCGTTAACTATTGATTGTATACTCACTCGTGGCCTACACGGGTAGGCGGAACACGCTTTTTTACCTGAGCGTTCCCGAATACTGTCAGCATGCGCACATAGTACTCCATGTTCTCAAAAGCGATCGGAACGCCATCCTTCGTCTGTCGAGGCGCAGAACAAAGACAGGGAGTTCCGGGCACAAGAAACGAAGTAAACAGGGGGGAGGAAGGTGTTGGTTAGGATCCCCTGCGATTGTAGGATTATCTACTATACTGCAGTAAGTGTACAACAAGATCGATATACTTTTATTACGGCACAGAGGATGCATTTTTATCGGCGACTTCGCTTGCCTGCTCCTCAGAAAACTGATCGACAATCTGCCCGTCGAGCGGGAATCGGAGACCATTTGCAACGCGGTGGACACGTAGAAGGTGCTTTTCGATGTTTTCCCTGTCTTTCGACAGATGCCATGTACGTTACTGTCCCCTGTTAATAATAGTTTGGCGATATTTTACGACCCAAATAACCTCTCTTCCAGTTCGAGCGCTTTGTGCACGAATCAATCGTCGAATGACTCCGTCAAAACGTCAAAACCATGTACTTCCGGCCCGCTCTAAATTCACCCGAACGGTGCAAAAAACATATAATACGTTGGCCGTGCGCGAGCGGACATTTTAAGGATGTGTGCGCATGTGTGTGTGTTTTTCTGTTCTTTCTGAATAACTTGCAGGACGGACGGTTGCATTGTGTACAAGACTAAAAAGAAAGACTTGCATGGCGTATGCATAGACTACTGTACTGCAAATACAAGAGCACGCACGCACAAGGGGGAACATGATTCAACAACATACCCGGACAGAGGAACGGTCCTGCATCTCCTCCTTTTCGACGCCGGCGATCGTGTCGACAAAGGTGCAAACGCCCGGGGTACCTATCGCAGCGGTTATCGCAACAGCGGTCGTGGCGAGGGTGCACTAGGTAAGGGTTCAATAGTCGGAGTAGGACCTGGGACGAAGAAAAACAGGAGGTCGAAAAGCTCGTTCGGAAGGAATACAGGGCGCTCTTGCGAGACGCCAGTCTCTCCAAAGCTCGGCTAAAACGGGAATCCTCTCAACGCTGTGTCTAGTCTATTGTACGTGCCACCCCACGTGATCGACGCCCCCCTAGCTGGCGTTGCCCTCGTCCAGATCGTGTCGATGAACGTGCCGGCGAATAACACCTACTGTACCTCTCGGACACCACGTGGTGCGCTATGCACATGTATCAACGCACCGCTCTCGCCGACATCATCGTTACCGCTTGCCCCAGAAACTGCTAGAAGCGCGAAGGCCAAAAGCTTGGGCCATGGAGATCGACGAGCCATTATCTCTGACAGTGGTTATTTTGCATTCGCGAGACAACGAAGAGCGACACGAGAGAGAGAGAGAGAGAGAGAGAGAGAGAGAGAGAGAGAGAGAGAGAGAGAGAGAGAGAGAGAGAGAGAGAGAGAGAGAGAGAGAGAAAGCAACGAGGAACAGTTAGACTTGCATGTAAGCGCTGTGGGTTGAGAGTTTTGAGAGATAATATGCATATATATGTTGCGACGACGAAGTATTGTCCACACTGGTTGCCGTGGTCTTCGCTGTGCCGCCACAACAAATATTTCCGTGACTTTCGGCCCCACGATTAGATAATCTTCGGTTGCGTAGACCACGTCTGGGGGGACGAGAGGTCGGAAAAATATTGGATGCACCCATGGGGACGCCCATAAGCCATGCACCCACACCTTTTTGTTCCGACAGAACCACCCAACCAAAAGCGACCTAGGTCCACACAACCTAGCACCTACACAGGTCAATACCAACCTAGCACCTATCAAGCAATAAACCAACCTAGAGATTATCCCGTCAATACCAACCTAGCCCCAATGCCGGCACAACAACCTAGAACTGAGCCACCCAGCCCTAACCTAGCCCTAATGCAGGCACAACAACTTACAACTGAGCCACCCAACGTCAACCTAGCACCTATTGGGTCGCTTTGGGGTTAGGATTAGGGTTAGCGTTGGGGATTTAGCCGGTTTCATGTAAGTTGCTGCTTGGAGGGACAGAAAACTGCGCCTCCCTTTGTAGTAAAACGACAACGTGGAAGAAACAAGAAAACGCATTGTTCCTCCACAGGACTTCCGTCGGTTTATATGCGTCCCTGTGGGTACATACAATTTGTCGGCGAGAGGTCGGTACATGTGTAGAGAGAGCGCGGACGAACGTGAGGACAACCCACCCGAGACAATGTAGACTACCTGTTATATCTATCAAGATGTCCGACACGCGACCGGACCAACCGCTGAAGACGACAGCGTTTATCTGTTGGGTATTGAGGTGGCTGCGTCTAGAGACTACATGCTGTATATTTTGGCGCATTCTCGGCGTACCCAATTATACCGATGATCCGATGCAGGTTGTCTCTTGGTCCGTTCGTCTGTTCGGACTCTTGGAGTGGATCTTGGGCGGAATGCATCCTCATGCAGGTAGTCTTCAATGTGATGTAGACATGCAGAGAGGCACGCTGCTCCAACCCCTTCATGGATCTCTACAGGAAAATACCAATTTACTCGTCAGACGATTTCCCGGTTTCCCGCCTGTCTCCTGTCTGCCTACATGTAGCTGTGTGTCGCTACCTTCCCTTCGCTGTGTTTCTCTCTCAGGATCCATGCAACTACACAGCGACGATCATTTGTACTGTGAACATTCGACATTCGAAAGAAGGCTAGCATTGGCGCGTGCGGGTGCTACTGCTGGTGCTACTGCTGTGAGATGCACAAGGTGCCCCACCACACCACATCCATCGGCTCTTGGCACCGGAACAGCTGTGTTCTATATATGTACACTCCCCAGAGCATGCATGATCTAGACACATGCATGATCTAGACAGACGACAGCAGCCGAAGATGTCATGCACAAAATACGCCTACCCCCTCTGTGGTACACACATCTCTTCTCTCTCTGGTGTCGGCCAGAATGCAGAACGAAAACGGGCGAAAACGAGAGGGAGAACAAGAGCGGTAAATGCGCGCTCACCTTTTTTCGCACCACCAGCGTCGAAGGGAATGAAGTCCGGTTCTCGTGTTTTGCCGAGCGGAGACAGACGACGTGTGTGCGCTGGGAGGCGGTGTGCGTGAGTATGCAGTGCGACAGATCCTCCCCCCTGCTGGCCGCCGCATTGTTATTCCGTTGTCGAAGGGTTCGCGTCTCGGTGTTGGTCCGCACCCGCCCGCAGCATAATATTCTTCCGTCAATTGATTACGTACGCAAATTACACACGTCTGTACTGCTGCTGCTGTCATACACCGCAATACGCACACATAGCGAATATCTTTCATGTACACGTATTTTTGTATCGGCCTTCGTGCAGGGTCTGTATAGCCGGGACGGCGAGCTCTGGGTGTATCGTGTAACGACGATCGCGATATGTAATTTGTCCCCATGGGCGCACGCTACACGACGCGGTACACCACGGGGGAACTTGGCCCGTTGTTAACGAAATGACCCGACCTGTTGTGCTTATACAGCAGTGGTGCTGACGACTTGGTCGAAAGCGGTGGTCTCCATGGCTCTATTACAGCAGTTGTGGCATGCGGGTTGATGATATCATGAGGTTCCTATCGTAGAGAAGAGTAAAAAAGAACTAAGGAAAAAAGCGTTAAGTTGTTGCGTGCTTGTGCAAGCTTGTGTCTATACTTTTGGCATCGACCGCGCCAACCGGCTGACCAATGAAAAGACGTCAGTGTGCCGACGTGTTACTACATACAGCAGTACGCATCTTGCGATGTGTACCGCCGTACCGCCGTATATGTATGTATGTACTAACTTGGTGCACTACAGGCCTAGGCCAGAACCAGAAGCGAGAGGAAAACTCACTTTGCAAGATAAGCTCATCGCTTACGCCGGGATTCGAACCCCTGACCTGACCTCTCTAGAAACGTGGAAGGTTTCGAGGGTACCAACTAGACCACCGGGGCGACCAGGGACTAGGGCTTGTATTTTGGGTGTCGATTCCGACGTTCCTCCTGTTGACGATCAAGCCGGTCAAACGTCCCCCTAAAACCACGCCCCCCCCCCGCACCCTCCCTCACCCAGATACCACGGGTAGTATTCGCCCTCCCGCACTCTCCTCCCGTCCCAAGCCGAAATTACGTTTAGAAGGGATACAAATCGCTCGACACCAAGCACCTCTCTCTCTCTTCCAAAGTGGAGGACACGTACGTGCGAATCTGGCTAGTCCGCTGCACATTGTCGACTCCACGTACTCAGTACACGCAGCTACCACGATGTTGACTCCTCACCGGCCAGGGTCTGCGAATGGCAGGCCACCCCGCCCGTCCTTTTTGTTTTTCCTTTTTCTTCCTTTCCCTGTATCCGCGGCGGCTTCCCCCCGTCATCTTTTCATGGCATGATGTATGTATGTCATGTGTGGCTCGTCTTGTCTATGATCTGGCGCCTTTCTTTCCGTTCTACATACTGTGCTGTACCAGAACTCACCAATAGCAGCAGCTCAACGCAACAGTTTTCTCGCTACAACAGCAACTTGACGTTTCAAACCCTCTACGATGTGTTCCTGTTACTGAGAAAGTATACGGAGGGTTTCTCCCCGATATAAATATTTATTTTTGCTGTTGACCCGGCAGAGAGTTTTTGCAGGAGGTTTTTTATTTTCTTAATATGACACCACGAAACCATCTGTACTGTATCAGGGGAGGTTTTTGACTTTTTTTCCAAGTTGAACATTGTCATCAACCTATCCCAAATTACTTCACCGCTGTATTGAACTATCTATCCTCCGCATAGAGACTTGTCTCTTTTGGGGGGGGGAGTCTTTCTTTGATTCGTATTGTTTTGTCAGAACATCTCTTGATCTTTGGAGATTCTGGATACAATGGAGACCGATGGAGATTGATTCTGGTAGTAGGTGTTTCTGGTTCGTTTGCGACAAATGGAAGTTCGAACTAGTCTCTCTGGTTTAATGGTTTATGGTTGGTTGTTGCAAGAGGATGGGAGGAGAAACGACTGTTGCACAATGACATTGATTTCTGGAGTTTTTGGGATGGGTTTCGTGTGATGCATAATATAAGCAAGTTCGGGTATAATCTTGACAATGCAGCGAGCAGGGGGGCTGTTGGATGTACTCACAGCATTGACAGATTATTGCAACCGAGGAATGTTCCTAGAAGATGGAGCGGGGGATTTTGGGGGTTCCGCAGTTGTAATAAATTGGGGGAATGGTGGTACCATCTTTGCCACATATTATTGTTTTCTGGGTATGTATGCGTGTCAGCAACGGTGTTGGCCACGTGCCCTTGATTTATTCATCTTCCTTTTTCCCGGCTATCACGCCCTGGGCTATCACGCCCGTGCCCATACTACCTATCCACCATCTATCACGCTGCCAGGCTTTCACGCCTCTAGGCTATCACGCCATCACAACAGCTATCACAGCACCAGCGTCAACACATCAGAGCTATCACGCTCCGGAACATCATAGATGCGGCGGGTTACCACACCCGTGGGCAGTTTACTGTATTTTATCGTTGCCGGCAAACTCGCCGCGCGGTTCTTTTATTTTTGCCGTCTACAACTGCGCCGGGCGCACCAAGCCACCCAACACGCTAGCGTAATAGATCAAGAAAGTGGCTGCTGTGTCTGCGCGAATAAGACGGCTGGAGGAGATGGACGAAGACCTCCGCGGGGACCAGGGACTAGTTCCTCTCCCCACGGGGAAGACAACGGGGGGGAAGGACGAGGTTCGTTGAACCTCCCCGATGTGGACCAGCAGGGAGGAACGAAAGCAGCCGCGGATGGAGGGGAACAAGATCCAACTATCGCCCTTGTCGACCTCCTCCGCCGGGTTGCCAACTTCGCCTCCCAGACTCCGGGACATGACGTCCGCTCAGGCACGTCTAGTTCCCAGCCCATAGAGTTGAAGCTGAGAGAGAGAGTCGAAGTACCTGAGTGGAATGATGCTTTCTTGAAGGATCGAAGTGTGACTGTCGCGTTCCGAATTTTTACGAGTTGTTTCTCAGGGTGGATGGATGCAGAGGGTCTTGAAGAGATCATGAGAGGAGAAGAGATTCCTGTGGGTTCGTTGCACGTCGATAAGACTTGGTTGCGGCAGAGGTATGGCGATGAAAGTGTTCGAAAGGCCACGAGAGTCTGGATGTGCTTGATCACGAAAATCAACGTTCAACCTATACTAGACCAGATACTAGCTTCAGAGAGTCCACAAGCAGGGTGGAGAGTGTTTCAGTCCTACTACACTACAAACAGGACGCATGAGAGAGAAATCCTGGACGGCACTTGGAACTGCCTTAGACAGAAGCATGGAGAGACTCTGGTCGACTACTGGGGAAGGGCGAATACTGTGTGGATGCAATTACAGTCTTGTGGGGACAATCGAGAGGAGACGTTAATGTCGAGACACTTTGCACGTGGCTTGCTCCCAATGTACGACGATGTCAAAGACCGTATTCTGTTCCACCCCATGCTTTCGAGAGGTACTCTGGAAGAGACGCTGAGGCTGGTCGAGCACGAGCAGAGGATCAAACGGAGGTGTGGGGAGGGGATCGAGGACACGAGGCATGCGCCCGTCGCTGCCGGCGCAGGCCGGGACGGCGGCATGAGGAGAGCAGCTGCTGCGGGAGCGGATGGCGGACCATCTCATGAGCAGAGAGGTGCCTTCTTCTGCCAGGTTCACGGAGCGAACTCCTCCCACAACACCCCAGACTGCCATAAACTTCGCAAGGACTTCTTGTTCCACTACAACGACTTCATGGCGTTCATTCGCGAGAGGGACGGTATGCGGGGACCAGGTTTTCCTCAGGCCGGGGGGCAAGAATCGGGGCGCTTGTCGGGCGGATCATATCGAGAGCAGCTGCACCAACTCGACCAAGGGGCAAGCTGGGGTCGGGGCCGCCCGTTCTGTCCCCGTTCTGCAGGGCCCGACGCTGATGAGCAGCGAGTCTTCAACGAGGCCTTTAGCACCGCTACTCAGCCGGCGACTCAGCAGCAGCAGCAGCAGCAGCAGCAGCAGCAGCAGCAGCAGCAGCAGTACATCGGCGCTAATCCAACGACCTCTGCCTCCTCGACGGCGACCCCCTCTCCACCTCCGGGCGACACTCCTCCAGCAAGTGGCGCCCCTCTTCGTCTCTTCCTCACACGTAGTGTGAATTCTCTAGGCGAGTCTGATTCTGTGTCTGGAAATGAGATTAGAGTTGTTAGTGATGGGGAGGTGTCTGGTGTTCCCGTTGCTGGTATGTCTGTGCCTGATGTTCCTGTGGTTCCTGTGGTGAAGCCTGCTGTGACCTTTCAAGCCCCGGTATGGCACACTAGGATGTCAACACCCAAAGGTGGTGAGCAGTTGCAGGGAGACTCGGGGACGAGTGCGGGGATGTTTGATGCGAGGGAAGGTGTTGCGTCTAAGTGTGATGTGGCTGTGTTGGGTCGTGCCGAACAAATGGATGTTGACGGTTTCCACCACCGCGCTGGCGACTTTCCCCAACCCGTTTTGAGTTTGACTGCCAAGCAACAAGGGAACACCCTCCCCAGGGAGTTGGGACCCGGGGCCATCGCCGCTTCGCAGCCCGCTGCCACCGCTGCGCCTTGGCCTGCAGCCGCCGCCGCCGCCGCCGCCGCCGCACCACCGCCGCTGCCGCCAAGTCCCGGGGCACCCGTGCCGCCTGCATCCTCGCCGGATGTCGCCGCGCTGCCGGACCCGCGGATGACTGCGACGAGGACTACCGCCGCTCCGCTGCCCGCCGCTGTTACTACCGCCGCGCCGTTGCCGACACGCAAATCGGTGCCGACCTCCGAGGCCGATGGACCACATCCATCTCCGACGGCGCGTATTGAACGGCAAGCCGATGATTTGGCCTGGGATGATACGGACCGGTGAGCTGGGGGAAGGCGAGCTGGGGGGCGACGAGATGGAGGGCGGTGGAGAACAGGATGTTTGGGAGGGGTGCATGTGGGAGATCAAGAACAACCTGCTGGGGGTCGCCCCTCCGAGCGGGGCACTCCGTTTGGGCTCGTGACGCGCCTTGCATCGCGCGACGACATCGAGTCTGATCTAACAATGTGGGTTTCGTGTTTAGTTTAGTTTTTTTTGCCTTTCTTTCTGGCAGCGCGTTTTACTTTTGCACTGGTTTTTTCTTCTTTGTTTGTTGCTGTTTTTATGTACATCCAGAATCATGGGGGGGGGGATGTCATGTGTGACCATGATCTCTAGAGGGCATGAACAGCAATCGATTTGTTTTTGTTTCCCCATATGAACAGCTACCTTTGCAGGGGGGCTGTCTACATGTTTGTTAGTTGGCATTTTGATATTCGCGGAGTGTTCTTGCATGAACTCTGGAAATGTAAGGGGTATGTTTCGGGATGTGACAGCGGGGGGCTGTCTATATGTTTGTTTAGTTTTCTATCCGTTTCGTGGACAGCAACGGCGGCACCGATTTGCGTGTGCGCACTGTTTAGTTTGGTGCTCAACGACTATACTGGAGCAAGGAGTTGGCAGGAGTGATTGTTAGGACATATGTGCTTTCCGAATACTCGTTTCTGTCGTCCAAGAAATTGTAACATTGTTTCGTTTGAGTTTTTGTGCCTACTCTTTGAAGCTGTTTTCCTCAGAATTGTCCGTCCCCATTCCGATGTTTTTCTGATGCAGCGCTGCCGCTTGTTTGGTATTTGTCTGAGAATGGTTCTGTGCTGTTGACGGTTTGAGATAATTTCCAGAGAAGGATGCATCGCCCAGCGGGGATGGAAACCACGGGCAACGGCGGTTTAGTGACAGATGTATGCGGGTTTGTGGATCCGGAATTGTTTTTTTGGTTGGTTTTTGGTTTTGGCTTGTTTCGGCGTTCTTTCGGATTTGATTTTGCGATTGAAAT